AACTTCAACAATACCGTGTTACTGCACTTCAATTACTCACTATCTATACACACATTACATTCCCCTCTTTTATATACCAACCTACCCTATATTTAGTAAGAACTAGAACATTCGCCAAAATACAGGATAATTCTAGAAAGTAGAGAGCGTGAGACTCACATGATCTCGATGACGCAACACCACTGTGCCTTTGCTCCATAATTAATATATATATATATATTTCAGTGAAAAATACAATAACAGCGACTTACATTAGATATGTACTTCCACACACACATACATATATGTATATAATTGAGTTTGTTTTCATGGGCATAAGATTTTAAAAAGTATGTATATGTCGAATGAAATACACTTCTTAAAATTTGGTTTGTTTGTTTTAGTACAAAGCTACACAATATGTTATCTATGTGCTGTCCATCGCGGAGAATCGTACTCCGGATTTTAGCATTGTAAGTCCATAAACTTATCACCGGCCCATTGGGGAAGAGATGGGGCAAGTTAGACAATAAAAACTACATTCTAATTCGTGTACTAGTTTTTTCTTATAACAAAAGATAATTAACCCACGTTAAAATACAACTTGTTGTAATGTTGTTTGTTGGGGGGGGGGTACTGATTATTTTAAATTGGCCTGTTGGTTAGGGCATTCGATTTGCAGCTTGCTGGTCACGGGTTCAAATCCCATGGCAGCGTTATAATGTGATGATCAGTCCTACTATTCATTGATGATGAGTAGCCAAGAATTGGTGAATGTAGTATTTAGCATTTCAAAAATTAGTGACAGGTAGCGCAGATAGCCCTCAGTAATTTTTTGCGAAATTCATAAAAACAAAAACAGTCTTTAAAATTATTTTGGAAACTAAGAACAAATCCAGTCCACATAGCGATAACAAATTAGCTTATTTCTTCTTTAACGTTGGCTGCTATTATTATCACGTTACAATGTTGTAACTTGTAATACTAAGTTTACAGATGACATTCAAACGGAAATATTACGCTAACTGTGCTATGACCAATTTAAAAAAATAAACTTATTTGTATAAATTCACGGTTGATCAATCAAGTAACTGAATTGATCAATCAAGTAACTGAATATGCCCGATAACTAACATGGATTCAAACACTTTACTAAATGGCTGCATAAATAATGACCGTATTTTTCGGTGTAAAAGACGCAATTTTTTACCCCAAAATTTGATGTCAAAATCTGCTTGCGTCCTATACACCGAAGGTATGAATAATAGTGTTGCGTCAGCGAGGTCACGTGACTAGTATCACGCCATGTCTTTCTAGAAA